ACAATAGAATATTTAAGTCAAAACGCACCAGCTGTTGAATTTATTTCAAGGGAACTAACAAATGCCCCCAATATTTTGATAAATTTTGAATATCATGACACAGGTCTAAAGTTTTGTTTCATGTGAAATTTCCTTCCCAATGTATATATAACCTTTTAAGGTATGGTGAGTGCGGGGTGATTGGATGCATCTGATCTAATTTTACACCTTGGGGGAAAACCCTAGCTAGCTATAGCTCGTCACATTTTTCCTCAGCACGTTAACGTGGTTAAGAGTATGGTATGGAGCATGTAGCAATTTATTTGACCTTTGGGCATTGTTGTCACATCCTTGTATCAAAACCTTTTATATTAAAAAAAAAGATTTTTAACACGGGTTTGGTTACTTTCTCTTTCGCTTTATATTTTACAATACTAGATAGGTGACGCTTTCNTTTTTTTTTTTTTTTTTTTTTTTGTTACAGAGTAAAAAGAAAAAGGTCATTGCTACTGATCTTTATTTCGTCTCTCCGTAGTCCGTATAAATGAAAGAGACTTTACTTCCTTCTATGACAACGGTTTTGTTGATGCCAATAATATCACTACATTGTACAATAGAATATTTAAGTCAAAACGCACCAGCTGTTGAATTTATTTCAAGGGAACTAACAAATGCCCCCAATATTTTGATAAATTTTGAATATCATGACACAGGTCTAAAGTTTTGTTTCATGTGAAATTTCCTTCCCAATGTATATATAACCTTTTAAGGTATGGTGAGTGCGGGGTGATTGGATGCATCTGATCTAATTTTACACCTTGGGGGAAAACCCTAGCTAGCTATAGCTCGTCACATTTTTCCTCAGCACGTTAACGTGGTTAAGAGTATGGTATGGAGCATGTAGCAATTTATTTGACCTTTGGGCATTGTTGTCACATCCTTGTATCAAAACCTTTTATATTAAAAAAAAAGATTTTTAACACGGGTTTGGTTACTTTCTCTTTCGCTTTATATTTTACAATACTAGATAGGTGACGCTTTCAAATTCAAATTTTGAAATAATGCATAGAGAAACAGATGTCAAAAGTCTGGACCAAAATGATACCGGTCAGGAGCAACGCAATTAGTTTTACTAGTATAATACATAAAATGGTCCAAAAGGGCGAAGCATGCTTGATGTTCATTGAGTGATGAGAGCAATGCCATGTACACCACACTCCCACCCATCCCTTCATACTACACTTAGACATTTTTCTTATTTATGATGTCACAGTTAGATTCATCTATTGCAGTGGTATTTCGGATGCCAATAATCACAATACATTCACATGGTGAAATATGTCAATGTAAATGTATCTTCTAGTTGTATTGTTCTGAAGGGAGCTCAAAGATGCCATGGGTATTTTCATAATTTTCTAACATCATGATAGAATTCTTTATTTGTGCTTTATGTAAATCTTCTTCTCATTGAAAGGATCACCTTTTAAGGTAACTGACTTAAGTTATGTTGATCTCATTACAGGGGCATGGGAAAACCTCATATTGTACGGCTATCAGAATCTTCGTCAAATATTCGAAATTATTAGTTTCCTCATCACGTTATTGTGGTTAAAAGGGTAATATAAAACACTTTTTGATTTGTTGGATATATCTGGCATTTACTCAGCTTTCGTGACCAAAATCTTTCGATAAATTATCAAACAAACTGTGGCTTCAGTTACTTTCACTTTGGCTTTAAATTTTCACAACAGATGGCGCTTTTGATTCACAATGAGAACCCATTTAAAATGTGCTTTGAAAAGCCCATGAGGACCTGAAAGCATCTTAAGAGATTTAAAAAAAAAATCAAGCATACGGGTCCAATTGAAACGTTTCCATGTGTTGATTGTCTGACTAGGATAGGTTAATTATTATAACAGCCGTAATAAGGCGGCGCGGTCTATCTTGACTGAGGCATCACTCAGCTAGTTCATAAGGTATACTCGCCATATATGTCAAACTCTTTTTGATATTCAAACTTTGTTAAAATAAATCAATAATTAAATACTCCCAAAAGTGATAGAAAAAGTAACTGTTGTTGGGCGAGTGGGGCAGAAGAACTTTTTTAATTGTTTCTATGCTGTATTGGCCAGTGATAACTAATGACAGGGAAAATATCAGCTAATTTAATTACAGCAAGCTTACAGTTTAAGTGTCTTATTAAACATAAAAAGGCACATGAATATAATAGTCGGAGCAATATATGCCTATAAAGAATGAGTAAGGGTCGTGACATAAAAAAGGTTGTTTTTCTGTGTAAAGGGGTTTTTATCCGTTTTTCTGATGGTTCCACATAACAGACATATTATGCCTGTAAGTCATTTCTATATGCCCTGAGTGTCAGGGCCACTGTGAAGCTAGTTTGTTAACTATTCAAACCTTTTCAGGGGATAGCTTCACAGTCAGTTTCGCTGGGGTTTCGCTGATATGGGTTATATATGAAATCAAGAACGAGCTGGCAAAAATGAAATCTAGAACCTAGGGTATTTCTACATGGAATATATTAAAATAAAGTTTAAACAACATCTTTGTATTTAAATTACATAGTCAGATATGTTTTAATTTTGGAAGTCAGCATGAAAGTGTCGATCACTAGGTGCCACTAGGAGCTGGATTCACACAGGATATAACGTATCGTAACGTTCCAGGTTTCAGTTTTTTTTTTTTTTTTTTTTTTTTTTGTTACAGANTTCACATGGTGAAATATGTCAATGTAAATGTATCTTCTAGTTGTATTGTTCTGAAGGGAGCTCAAAGATGCCATGGGTATTTTCATAATTTTCTAACATCATGATAGAATTCTTTATTTGTGCTTTATGTAAATCTTCTTCTCATTGAAAGGATCACCTTTTAAGGTAACTGACTTAAGTTATGTTGATCTCATTACAGGGGCATGGGAAAACCTCATATTGTACGGCTATCAGAATCTTCGTCAAATATTCGAAATTATTAGTTTCCTCATCACGTTATTGTGGTTAAAAGGGTAATATAAAACACTTTTTGATTTGTTGGATATATCTGGCATTTACTCAGCTTTCGTGACCAAAATCTTTCGATAAATTATCAAACAAACTGTGGCTTCAGTTACTTTCACTTTGGCTTTAAATTTTCACAACAGATGGCGCTTTTGATTCACAATGAGAACCCATTTAAAATGTGCTTTGAAAAGCCCATGAGGACCTGAAAGCATCTTAAGAGATTTAAAAAAAAAATCAAGCATACGGGTCCAATTGAAACGTTTCCATGTGTTGATTGTCTGACTAGGATAGGTTAATTATTATAACAGCCGTAATAAGGCGGCGCGGTCTATCTTGACTGAGGCATCACTCAGCTAGTTCATAAGGTATACTCGCCATATATGTCAAACTCTTTTTGATATTCAAACTTTGTTAAAATAAATCAATAATTAAATACTCCCAAAAGTGATAGAAAAAGTAACTGTTGTTGGGCGAGTGGGGCAGAAGAACTTTTTTAATTGTTTCTATGCTGTATTGGCCAGTGATAACTAATGACAGGGAAAATATCAGCTAATTTAATTACAGCAAGCTTACAGTTTAAGTGTCTTATTAAACATAAAAAGGCACATGAATATAATAGTCGGAGCAATATATGCCTATAAAGAATGAGTAAGGGTCGTGACATAAAAAAGGTTGTTTTTCTGTGTAAAGGGGTTTTTATCCGTTTTTCTGATGGTTCCACATAACAGACATATTATGCCTGTAAGTCATTTCTATATGCCCTGAGTGTCAGGGCCACTGTGAAGCTAGTTTGTTAACTATTCAAACCTTTTCAGGGGATAGCTTCACAGTCATCTTTTTTGTTATGGGATATAAATGAAATCAAGAACGAGCTGGCAAAACTGACATCTAGAACCTAGGGTATTTCTACATATGGAATATATTAAAATAAAGTTTAAACAACATCTTTGTATTTAAATTACATAGTCAGATATGTTTTAATTTTGGAAGTCAGCCTGAAAGTGCCACAGATGGCGCTTTTGATTCACAGTGAGAACCCATTTAAAATGTACTTTGAAAAGCCAAGGAGGACCTGAGAGGATCTTAAGAGATTCGAAAAAATCAAGCATATGGGTCCAATTGAAACGTTTGAAATTGCCACTAGGTGCTGGATTCACACAGAATATAACGTATATAGTAATGTTCCCCTATCATTTGACCAGTTTTTTTTTTTTTTTTTTTTTTTTGTTACAGAGTAGAAAGAAAAAGGTCATGGCTACTGCTCTTTCTTTCACTTCCCCGTAGTCCGTATAAATGAAAGAAACTTTACTTCCTTCTATGACAACGGTTTTGTTGATGCCAATAATATCACTACATCGCACAATAGAATATTTAAGTCAAAAGGCAACGTCTGTTGTATTTATTTCAGGGGAACTGACAAATGCCACCAATATTTTGATAAATTTTGAATATCATGACACAGATCTAAAATTTTGTTTTATCTGAAATTTCCTTCTCAATGAATATATATAACCTTTTAAGGTATGGTGAGGGCAGGGTGATTGGATGCATTTGATCTAATTTTACACCTTCGGGAAAACCCAGCTAGCTATAACTCTCATATTTTTCCTCAGCACGTTAAGAGTGTGGTATAGAGCATGTAGCAATTTATTTGACTTTTTGGCATTGTTGTCACATCCTAGTACCAAAACTTTTTTTAAAAAAAGAAAGAAATTTAACACGGGTTTGGTTACTTTCTCTTTCGCTTTCAATTTTACAATACCCGATAGGTGACGCTTCAAATTTAAATTTGAAAATAATCAAATATTTTTTATCTGCGCTTCGAATCAACAGCGCATAAGTAGGTAGACAATCATCGCTAACTTTTAAAATCATTAAGTGAGAATTTAAATATTCATATCAACATATTGATTTTCTGACTGTCTGAGGTCATGTCTTACTTTTCTTTTTTGGAGACAGACTTTCTTGACTGAAGCGCCACATAGTGGTTTAATATATCCGCCATATTCGAACTGGGGATAGTTTCGAAACTTATGAAAATTGAAAGGTGTTTGTACTTCAACTGTTATGGTATGATGAATATAAAATGAGCTTACCACCAGAAAAGATAGGAGAACTGAAGCAAATAATTCATAATCATCTTTCACAGGTAACTAAGAAAATATGTTTGATTTTTTATTTACAATTTTGTGCCACCCTGCCGCAAGTTGGTTTCTGATTAATTTGTCTAAGCTTTGCATATTGGTACAGTCTAGTTTATTCTCAGTATACATGTTATATGTATCTATTTCTGATTCAGTGGACTAACGGTAGTGTATGTTTGATCTCCTCTATTTGGAATAGCATGGTCATCTCGTGTTTATATGGTAGGGTTACAAATTCATCGAAGTTTACTGATATAGTAACATTCAGTGTACAGTGGTAGCTTCGGTCTGGTAGCTTGATAGGCATCAGGAATGTATGGGTTTTTGAAAACTTTTTCCTGAAAAACAAAGAGAAATGTAGGTTTGGTAACATTTTCTTTTGCTTTAAAATATCACAATACCTGGCAGGCTTCAAGTTTAAAATGAGTATAAAAGATATTTGTGTGATTAGGACCCATTTAGAACAATGTAGGTGAGGCACACATAAGGTAGTAGTTGGAATTCCAATGATACTTCTATTAAAATCACTGCACAATTTCAATTTAAGTCATCATTATTTCATTTCATATCAGCATGATATCCAGTCCAGAATAAAAGATGTATTGTCTCAAAATTTTGGCCACCAAGAAACAGTATATGACCCAGACCAGATTGGTGAAAATGAAATCTTGGATGCACTGCGTAGGCAGGGGGTGGTTGATGATATTATGCAGCAGTTGGCATTCGACGGAACATCTCGCCAAAGCCCCCTAAGGCCAGCTGCAAGATTGGTAACGAAGGATGAGAATGTGAAGGGCGGTGCTTCTAAGAAAAGTATGTTTGAAATTTTGCTTGTGATATGATTTACCTTTTTAACAGAAAGCTAGTTTTGAAATTCTCTGTTATTTTTTAGCAAGGTGATTGAGTACTAGTAAGTTCTTTTGGCAAAGACTGCCCTTAGAGCATTAGTCAACTCCCAAATTAGAAAATAATTCCTTATAATTTTATTGCAGAAAGTTTGTCATATATGTTTCATCAACACTGGATAGCGCTATCCTATGGATAACAATATCCATCAGATAAAATCCTTATCGCCTGGACAGTTACCCTGATGATATCAGCCATTTTTATCCACTGGAAGGCAATATCAGAGACAAAAATAAGTATCTAGGATTTGGTAAACATTATTTTACCCAAAGGATAATTGTCCAGAGGATAACAATTTTATCTAATGAATAGTGTTATCCAGAGGATAGCACTATCCGGTGTTGATGAAACTGGGCCTAGTACTATAAAATGTAAAATTTTAATATTTCAAATTGATTTTGTTCTATGTGGTTCACATACAGAGAGATTAAGATTTCCATGTAACTTACCGTGGTTTTATTATTCTCTAATTTATCTTTTTGTATATTCATGTTGATTGATACATTTTCTCCCTCTTTGTACTCAGCTCCAGTTGATCCAACTCGGCGCTATATCTATTTCCAAATACTTGGTGGCAAGGCATTTCTGGAGCACTTACATGAAGGTCAGCCTGTTCAAGGTCATGCTTCAGCGACCTTCACATTGCACCTTAACTTTAGAGGTCAAAGGTTCAGCTCAAGGCCAGTGGCTTGTGCCTGTGAACCAGATTTAAAGGAAGGCTTTTTGCTTGAACTCCACAAAGATAATGCAGGTAATATGTTGAAAGAGTAGCTTAAGTTTTTAATTTTTTGTCATTGAATTTAAGTGATAGGCGGGGGGGGGGGGTAAAAAAAAAAAGGCTTAAATTTTTCACTAATTTTTATGTGAAAAATTTTATTTAACTGAGTAAACCCACTATATTTTATCACAATGTGAAAAGTAAATAAATTAAAAATATATAATGTCAACTGTGACTTTTGTCTTCAAAATCAATTTTAATGGATGGTTATTCTTCATATTCTTGCAACTTTTAAGCTGATAATTTATTTGACTGTCAAAAGTTTAATTGATGAGAAAAATGTCTCTTTTCAGGTGACACAGCCCGCATGACAGATGTTGATTTATTTTACAGTCCAAAGTTTAATTGATGAGAGAAATGTCTCTATTTTTCAGGTGATGCAGCCCGCATGGCAGACCCTACAGCCATGCTGTCAATGTGTGATCCTCTCCATCTTGTCCTTATAAAGACAGACTCCTCAGGGGACAGAACTCTGCTGTCATCCCATTTCCTTGAATGGAGAACTGTACTAGCCTCACAGGCAGGCAGAGTTAGTATGTCCTTAGAACTCATGGGAGTAGGTAGGTCAGAGCTTATATTGGCAGGAACAGAATGGAGATTATTTATTTATTTATTTATTTATTTATTTATTTATTTATTTATTTATTTTTCTTTGCTACTGGAGAGATGCATTTTTCATTTGAGGGACAGCTGTTTTCTTTTTTCTTTTTTTTTATTTCATTTTTCAACCCTGTAGGTCTTTGTAAATAATACATCTAGATCATTAAAGAAACAAGCTCTGGTGTGCTTAGTTCTTCCATTGTGTAAAATGTTATTTAACTCCTGATGAGGACAGATATGAATGAAAAAGATTTATGGAACTAACTGAACTAAATTGACAGCATTTAAAGCATTGCATATGTGGAGTAACTTTTTTTGTTGCAAGATAATCATTAATATATACTTATCTGTTATTCCACAAGGATGGTCTTTTAAAGTTTGCATAGAATGCTTAGTGTCTGTTTAATATGAAAACTCACCTCAATCACATCTGTAGCAAGCAGATATATAGCAGAAATATTGGGAAGGTTTTTCCCAGAAGAGATTCCTTGACTGCTGTATACGATTTAAGGTTGAAAACATATGTGTAATATAGAGTAACAACTATTTCAATTTTTTTTTTTTGGACAGGAACAGAGAATAAAGTACCAGTAGGTATCTTAGATGTGCAAATAGAATTGATACCAAAGACACAACACATTTTAGCAGAAGATGTCATCTCAGCACAGTTGAGTTTAGAAAAGAGTAAGCAAGCAGAAAAGGAGCGTCTCTTTTTGGTGTATGCTAAACAGTGGTGGAGAGAGTTCCTACAAATAAGACAATCACATGGGCAGAGGATGGTCAAGATATTTGCACAGGTATTGTGATAAAGGAGAAAAGAAAATGAGACAGTTGAATAAGATTAGGATATTAAGTAACTTATGTTTATCCTTTGTTTTTGTAGTCGTCCTTGTAGGTAGCAATTTTGTTTGGTGGTTTCTGGGGAAAGTGTTTTTACGATAGTTTTATGAAGTTATTTCTTTTGTATTTTTTTAAGTTAGTTTCTGTTGTTGTCCTTTGGGTTTCAGTTTTGTTCACTGGTATGGTGGAAACGCGTATAACAAATGCTTTTCAATATAGTCTGTCTTTTGTACACATTTTCAGTATATTTGTCTTATGGTAACAAATGGGTATTTGATGCACAGAAACAGAATTAGGCAAATCTTCGTACGCAATAGAAGAAATGTCAGAAATTGTGAACTTTATTTGATCATTGTTCAGGATGAGAATTGTGTGAACAAGCCAGTCTGTTCCTTTGTCCGTCCTCTGCGAGCCGGGCGTTTACTGGACACACCCAGAGAAGCCAGCCGTTTTGTTAGCTTAATTGGTTATGAGAAAGTCCCTGTGTTGGGTGGAGGAGAAAGGGCAGAGCAGTGGGCTAATATGCACACTTTTCTGTGTAGAAACAAAGGGGTAAGTGTATACCATGTATACCGATACAAGTGTATACCACACATACTGATACTTGTAAGTGTATACCACATATACCGATACAAGTGTATACCACACATACTGATACTTGTAAGTGTATACCACATATACTGATACAAGTGTATACCACACATACTGATACTTGTAAGTGTATACCACATATACTGATACGAGACTATACCACATATACTGATTCGAGTGTATACCACATATACTGATACAAGGGGGTGAACGCCTGAAGGGGAAGAAGATTGTGTAGGTACTAGTAAGTGGGTATTGACATTTTGCCTTTTTTCATTTGCATAGACGAGAAATACACTCAAAATGATGCATTCACAGAGTAATTAGATATCTGGCTTTTCCTGGAACCAATGTGCCTTTTAAATACTTTATGGGCACCTTATGGAAGAAGAAAGCCAAGATATTAGTTACCCTGTGTGCATATTGTTTTGAGAATACTGTGTAAACCTGTGATAGAGACAAAATGTTTGGACTCGTTAAGCTACTCAGTATTCTTTTGGTTTTCTTGATATAGAATTGGTGAGGGGGGAAGGGGAGAAGTGAGTCGTAGATATTCATATAGATATAAGTAAAGAGGTGATTTTAGTAGTAGTGAAAAGGTTATTGTAAGGCACCTTTTCAACCCCCTTTGAAGGCTTGTTGTCACTTATTTTTTAAGCTCATTCATATTTTTTGGAAAATATTGTGCCCTTGGGCATTATTGCTAGCTACTCTGAATGGGAATGTCATAGCACAATGGCAATCTCCCGTGTAGTCTTTTTTATATGGATTTTTAATTTTCTGAAAATATTTTGAACTCTTTGTGACAGTATTTGAAATATATAGACACCACAAGACACCTCCTTAAAAAGGTTTTTATGTACAGACACAGATGTGTCTGTACATATTGCCATCACCTGCGTCTGTCGTCGCCATCGTCGCCGATGCTGATGCCGGCGCCGGCGCCGGCGCCGTGCACTTTCCTTGTTAACACGATAAGTGGAGGGCAGTTTTACTTTTTGGCTTTATATTTACAGAGCTGATGAATATTCATTGTCATTATTCTGTTAACCATTATGTAATATTGCATCAGAATAGAAGAACACACAATTTTGGGTGCTGCTGCCATGAAAACCATTATGGGAAAACCATGTTACTTATGATTGCCAAACTTTCAAAAAAGAAATACAGGACTAAAATGCAGCCTGAGTTGGAAAAGCAGTCTAATTGACTTCTTTTTCTGGAAGTTATACATTTTCAGAGTGTGAACTTGAACTCCTATGGGGCTGAAGCCTTATGCTTGTTACACATTTTACTTGCATTGGAATTACCTGTTGAGCATAATTAAAATTTGATGTTGAATTTGCAGTTTAACATAATGTACTTTTGCATCAGAATTGACAGTACCCTATTTTGTTTTTTCCTTCTTTTTGTCTGTACATTTGACAGCTTTGCTGCCTTGTTTATATGTACTGTATGTATGATTTCAGGACAGTGAAGACCATGCAGTATTATTATGCAGCTTATTAATGGGCTTTGGCCTGGACTCCTATGTCTGTGTGGGGACCAAGTCCAAGGGGGCAGCACATGCCTGGGTGGTCACCATTAACACAGATGGACTGGTCACTTTCTGGGAAAGTTTGACTGGACACAGGTACGTACACAGGGCACACGGGGGTGGACGGAAGACGATCAGAATTTTTCAAGTTTCAGTGACTGGCATCTAATTAAATAATTAATCTAATTAAATAAGTAAAATTAATAAATAATAATAACTGTCAGAAGATGGTCAAAATTGGAAGATGTATCAACAAAGATAATTAGGAAGACCAGCAGAAAATAACTCTGGATCCGCCCTGACACAGGAATACTCTTTGGGCTATCAGTTAACCTCTGGATGCTGTTGATTACAAAATTCTTTGATGATGCCAGTTAATTAATGAAAAAGATATATTGAAATGTTTGAGGTTTAGGGCATTGAGTAATCTTGGTTTTAAAAACTATATTGCATTTTCTCTTTTTCTGGAGAGGAAATTGGAACTGTTTGTCAATGATGTATGTTTAATAAAAATTAAACGTACTAATTTTGTAAGGCTGCTAAGATTGTAGTCCTTTGACTGTGCATAGAAAGAAAAAAATTTCAAAATTAAAAATATTTCTCTCTCAAAAAAAAAAAAAAAAAAAAAAAAAAATTACATGAGGTACCAACTCTGGGGATGTGAATCTACAAATACCTCACATTTTGTTGATATATTCCTAGGTATATTCACAGACCATCCAACCCAGATGACCTGCCTGGCACCGCCCCCAAGGTCCAACACCCTTATAAAACAGTGGGGGCTGTCTTCAACCACCAGAGTTTTTATGCCAATAGCCAGGTAAGAATTACAGAAGGCAGAATTCAGGGGGAGGGGGTGGCGCAAATTGGGACACTTACCCCCCTCCCGTCCCCTCTGCTTTATATCCAGGATTGACCTGTATTGTTTGGAAATAGGGTCCAGGAAAATGATTGAATAAAACAGATACTGGTCTTTTGGTTTCTTTTGTAACTTTATTTCCCCTGTAAATATTTCTGCCTTCAGGTAACAATTTGAAAATATTTTTTATATATTATTTTTATTCATGTTGTTTCGTTAACGTCTGCTACTTGATTTTGTCACAGTTTTGTGTGTCTTAGCTAAAGAAATTAAGCTTCCACAGTCTAACCAGAGAAAGAAATAACGTTGTTTACACAGTACACTAGTAAGAGGGGAGAGTCATTAAAATTATATTAATAAGTAATCCATTGAATTGAGGTACTTTCAATACTTGCAGCCCAATGATTCTGTCCAAACTTGCCACTTTGATCTCCAAAATGAGGCTCGCTGGAAGAGCATGTCTGAAGATGCCATCTTGTCCCTGTGTGGCGCGGGCGCCATGCCGTCCTGGCCAGGTCTGCCGCCCCTGTGTGCCTCCACACTGGACCCTGGAATGGTCAGCAACAGCCTGGAACTGGAACTCAGGGCACTGGTCACTGAACATAGGAGGGTCAGTTACATCTATGAGCGTATTCAGAACAGCGGACTAACAGATACACAGATCAATGTGACCAACCCACTTGAATGCTTGTTGTGTAAACTCTGCAGGGAATGTATTTAGTGTATTTAGTGTATATTAAGGGGCAAGCTTTTTAGTTGGTCACCATATTTGATCTGTCGATCTGGTAATCTGCTGTTCAGAATGCGCTCTATGTCTTATATGTCTCAGTGCAATTCTTTTTTTTTTTTTTTGTACATGGATTAAAGGATAAAATCTCTTTGTATGAGGTCCATATTTCACAATAAATATTATGTAGAAATATGATAAATTCTATTTTACCACCAATAAGGCAGTTATCACAAGTATTCTGAAATCTGTATTTGCCAACAGACCACTGTGCCTCCACAGATTGCTCTTAAGAGATTATTACATAGAACCAAACTTTTAAGAAAAAAAAACTTGGATTTTCGGAATAGATTCATTAACTATTAGTAAGTATGGGAAAATTGACATTTTCCCCAGGAAAATCCAATTATCTACCAAAATCAAAATTGTTATTTCTTTAAGAAAATGAATTTTAAGATGATTTTTGAAGGAATGAATTATAAGATGATTCATAACTGTTAGGGTAGCAAAATGTTTCATTTTGGAATTCCTGAGGCCTAATCATTCCATTTCAATATGGTATGTCTTCAATTTATACTCCACACAGTACTGGTTTCTCATGCACTTTTACCACAATTATTTATTATCGACTAGAGTTGTTACTTTGACACAAAATACCTGAGTAAATCTTAAGCTTACTTCTTTGAATTGCATTTCAAAATATTTGGAATTTTATTTGTGTACTAGTAATACTTAAGATAGAACTGCATGTTAAACTGATTTAAACACTCTTTTGACATTGAGGAGTAAGGCTTTATTGAATTACGACAGATAGAACTGCATGTTATATTTATAGTATTTATAGGAATTGCTGTCTTTTTTTCCCCCGAAAGCCAGGCCCAATTAAATACTCTCATACAGAACTGAGTTTTATATACTATGTTAACTATCATCTATTGTTGTATATAGGAACAAGGACTTAACACATCCTGGGACGACCAGATGAGCTATCTCCTCACACCAGCACTGGCTGCCTATGAAACTGAACGACTGACAGGTAAAATGATCTGGATAGTAATATTTAGTTAAAGGCAGTCAGCTCTATTCAGGGCTCAAGAGTTGAGTGTACCATAAATTATAGTGTTTGCTTAATATAACTTTCAACCTTAATCATAGTTTATTTTTGTTTTGTTTCTAATATATGTTCAAAGTTTGGGGACTTGTAGGCCCACGATGCCAGATGATTTGTATATCTACTGTATGTCACATGTCACCTTAATAAATAAATACTATATTACTATATTTGAACTTTTTTTAAACAAAGTTTATTCAAGAGGAACGGAGGAAAGGCACTTGAAGCATTAAAAGCGATTCCTGCAATAAGTAGTGAAATATTTGAAGTGGGTTTCCATGTAGAAACAAAATGTACCAATGTATAGTTCATAAGTAACATACTACGTTTTTGTCAAAAGGGGGGAAAAAAGCAGTATTTAAGTCAATCAAAATGTAAACTTAAAACATGAAAACTGTTTTATTTATTTGGTCATAGAATTAAGATGGGTGTACTGTGTTACTTTTTCTTGCTTTCTAAGTCGGGTAGTTTTGAACACATAATTGGTGTCTAAAAAGCTGCATAGGTTATCAGCTTCAGTAATATTAATAAATATGTAAATTGAAATGTGTGACTTGACATTAAGATCATAACTTGAATCTTTGATTAGATGTTCAAAACAGCCAGGTGGTCTGGCTTAGAAAGGAAGATAAGTACACTGTAGGTCAGATAAGTAGGTCAAATTAATGAACAAAAATTTAAAGAAATGAGCAGCTCTTTTATGGTTGATTGAGTGATACATTCAGTTTATCCCTTGGCATGTCGACTTTATTTCAGTCTTATAATAGTAGAAGTAGCTTAAATGTATTACTAGGAATCCACACTCCACCCAAGCTTGGTTCATATACACCTTCAATAAGGGATAGAAGAGAATTCGAAGTTCTTATTGTATGATATTGATACCAGTGCTTATTGGCCTTCTTGGACCCCATTCCCATAGATTGTAGATCGATCTTTCCCTGTGGGGAGTCTCACCAGATTACTGTCAGCTTAGCCGGCTTAAGCGTCTTTCCCGCCTACTAAAAGCTGTAAGGGGGTAATTAACTATGGTGCACGCTCGGCTGACTGCAATTTAGCGTGAACCCCCAGGAAGTTAGGTCGATTTAAATCTAAATCTCTGGATCGATCTAAATCTATGGGAATGCACCCTTGGAGTATATTTTATATCAAGGCGCCTCCCAGGATTGTGGGTACAGGCCATCCAAAATTACCAGCTGTAATTTCATACAAAGTTTCAGGGAGTCCAAATAAGCCTAAAGCTGTCATATTTCCAAAAAATCTATAAGCTGTCGAGCCATCTTTGAAAATAAAGACTGTCCGGTGATGATGGTGACTGTCCTAATGATGGCTGGACAGTTTGCTGGAAAAAACCCTCGGTTTATATAAATGTTGCAGTATTAAAAAACTTTACATTTCCACATCCAGGAGTCCCAGCAGGCAATGAGGACTTCCAGGACGCAGTGAGGCGGGCTGTTCCTGATGGCCATACTTTCAAAGGATACCCAGTACAGTTTATACACAGGAACGCCAAGAGAGCCTTTGCTGCTTGTTTAAGGTTCGCAATTTTAAATTGATCATGGTTTGTAGTTGATTTTGAAACTGGCTTAGTTGTTGTCTTTGCAAACATGCTTGCACTTACATTGAACTTACTTGTGTAGTTTGAAAAATACATGCAATGCTTTGATCAGAGTGATTAAATATTAGGAAGACAATGTTTAGTGGACAAAGTCAGCAATACAAAAATGTTTTATAACCTAGTTTTTCTTTTTCTTTTTGAAATTATCAAATTTGTATTTGATGCAAAAATCTTTTCAGAAATTATCTTCATTTTACTTTTCAGATCTCCAGTTTGTGAAGATATCATTCAGTGTCGTGGAGACCATGTTCGTCTGGCAGTGCGCGTGCGGGTTTTTCCCTACCCGGAGTCAGCCTGTGCAACATGGCTGATGTTTGCCTGCAAGTACAAGTCTGTGCTGTAACATTATAAGGGATTGGATTTTTTTTTTCTTCTCCTTTGGTATAGATTTCCTCACTCTTACTCAGAGAAGAAAATTTTTTGAAGTTGCTGAATTTTGTGAAAATTTTCAGATGGAGGAATTTTATCAAAAAACTGCAAGAGAAGAGTTTATTAGTGCTTTCTGTTATTATTACTGAACATTTAGGATCATATCTATCGTGTTCTGGTACGTTACACCATGGATTTTGCCTAAAATGATCAGAAAGTGAGGAATTTTTGTGAAGGTCATAAAAGGAACTCTCAGTGTGAAAACTTGGAGTAGAGTCCTTTGAAGCACAACTGTGTTAGGTGTTTAACAGAGAAGTGTAGTGCATGATTTAAAAAAAAGCCATTGATGTTGGTTAACCTACTGCAGAAAAAAAGAATATTTATAATAATAATAATAAATGAAAATAAACTTTATTTAAAGAGGGTAAAACATGTTAAGTGTATACCTTTTTTGGTATTATAGATATTATTTGAATCCTGTACCTCATTCATTTGCTAGTACAAGTAGCAGTATTATAGGATTTTGATGGAGATTACAACTGTATAATACATGTAAGGATTTGATGTCAGACAGCAGTCTAATTTGCAATGGATGGATTTAATTAGTATATTTCTATTTAAAATTCTATGCCATATCTCTTTGTGATAACAGTAAACTCTGTCTGCCTGGAGAAGAAGAAGGCAACCTGTGTATAGATGTGACAGAAGCAGGTTCACTGATGATCCTGGATATGTTTACATACTACAATCTCTCCATGAACAGTCACATTGGAAAGTATGGCATTTACTGGCATTTCATCTGCCTGAAAGATAAAGAGTAAAATAACATGAAAATTAATAGATCTGGCACATCCATGCTAATGTCAATATATCTTCAACTGGGAAGTATAAATGCCTTTCAGTTAAAATAAATTTATTAAAACCTCACCTTGGATTTTCTATAATGGTACTTAAGCAGTAGAAAGGCCATGTTTATTGGGCACAACAGACCTGAAAAGGTTAAAAATATTAACTGTACATTTCCCCACTGTGATCATTCAAAAATTTAACAAGACATTTTTTCTACAAGTATCATAGTCTATGTTTCAGATAGCTCATAATGTCCCCTGTTTGGACATGCCATTTTACCCATAAGGTAAATTTTACAGGTATAAAAACAGTCAGACAATTAAATCACAGGTAGAGTGTTTTAGACAATAGCAAGAATTGCCCATATAGAAATTGCAACCATAATAAGGTGTGCATCTAGTCGGTTCTAATTACAGAGGATGTTATCATTAACAATTGTAACAAAAGAATACTTGTACCCTATTACAAAGTGGTAAATATACTAGCAAGATCTTCATGATTTAGAAGTATACAAAGGAAGTGCTGATTTAATAGAACTGGCACAGCCCTGGTCATATAAAACTATCTACAAGTAGGAAGCATATTCAGTGCCTTTCATTCTACAACTCTTGAAATAATTTTATTAATTAAATAATCTCACCTGCTTAGTGCCTGGATTTTTTTTAATGAAGGTTCAGTCTTTAAAACCTCATGGTCCCATACATGCTTTCATCCTGCTTGGCCACAGCTTGAACTTACTAGAAACAAGGCAGCAAAGCTGTCACATGTACAGATAAAAAGCAGAAAATTAAAACTGCACAAAATAGGATGCTGTCAATACTGATGCAATAATGCATTATGCTTAACTGCATAACCAACATCAAATTTTAATCCAACAGTTAATTAGGATGAAAGTCAAATATCTAACAAGCATTAGACTGAGTTCCCATACCTAGATCAATCTAACAGGATCGATCCACCTCCAAGGGGTTTCTCACTAAATTGCTTTCAGCTTAAGTGGCTTAGGATTCTGACACGCCAACTTCAGTAAGTGTGACAGACATCTAAGCCACTTACATTGAAAATTTTCATGAGGAAATAAGAAAATTAAAATATTTTTTTTCACCCAATGACTCCTATAAAAAGGCTACAGTTAGTAAGATGAATACTTGTTTCAAAAATTATCCAGTTTTACCAAAATTTTCACCACCAAATTTTTAAATACAAACAAAATATACGTCACAATGCAAACCATGTGAATAACAATGGTATGGTGACTTGATATAAAATAGTGCCTTTTCTTCATGAGAGTCCAAAATCCCATGGGTATGAATATAAAGATTTTTCATGATTATTTTTTTCATTTTTTGCACCCAATATTTTACCACCAAACTTCAAACATTTCCAATACATTCTTCATAAAGAATACTAAAGGGACAAATGTTGAAATGATCACCGTGTAAATATCAAATAAAAAGCTTTTTTCATAGGGGAGTCACTGGGTGATAAAATACACATTTTTAATTTTCTTATTTTCTCATTAAAATGTTCACCTGCAAACTAACAAAAAGTGCAAACGTATCCATTATGCATACCACAATATAAAAGTCATGTATTCAAATAAAATAAGATTTATAAAGTTTTTTGGGGGGAGTCAAAATTTCATGGGGGGAGTCACATTTTCATTATGAAAATTTGACTGGGGAGTCACATTTTCATAATGAAAATCTGACTGGGGAGTCACATTTTGGGGAAGTCAGGTTTTCATGGTACACCTGCACTGTCAGTTTTCTTCAATTTTGGCCAGGTAGGGAAAAAAAATATAGTGACCGGTAGGTGTGTTTGGTCATTTGTAGTGAGGGTAAAGTACTGGAAGAGTGGTTGTGTCATTATTAAGGAAGAAATAGAGCAAAAACTCTCTCCAACCCCCTTCTCTCCTAATCCTGTTCTCAAGTGTGCTTTCTGACAATCTTTAAAGCTGAAATTGGGGGCTTTAATGAAGTGATCCGGGCGCGTTTCCACTTTTGTTATGAATGACAGGTGTTGTGGATTAATTTTCGTCACATTTTGAAAATGTTTTACGGGGTTATGTTTAGCTGATCTTTAAAGCTGGAATTGGGGGCATTTAATGAAGTGATCCGTGCACGTTTACACATTTTTTTATGAATGACAGGTGTGGTAGATTGATTTTCATCACGTTTGAAAAAAATTGGAGACGGGTCGTTTCTGGGTGATTTTGAGTGATTTTCATAAGTGCCGGTACATGAAAATCTGACTCTCCAGGTCTAAATTTCATAATGAAAATCTGACTCCCCACATGAAATTTTGACTCCCCTAAATAAATTTTATATATCTTATTTTACTTGAGTATATAACTTTTATCTTGGAGTATGCATAATGGAGGATACATTGGCACTTTTTGAAATTTTTCATGAGAGAAAATAAGTAAATTAAAAATGTGTATTTTTCCACCCAATCACTCCTATGATAGGCTATGGGAGTCCAAATCCTACCGGTAGTTAGGTGAATACTTGTTTCAAAAATTATCTTTCAATTAGTCTTTCTCTCTTTCTTTTAGTTTTAATTAATTAATTAATTTATTTATTTATTTGTTATCAAATTTACATAAGGGGAGAAGAGCTCAGCCTTGGGGAGATGAAATCCAAAGTGGGAGCGATTTTTGAGCATCATATCAAAGGCGGTGCCACAAATTGTAATTTTCCAATTTACAACACCAATACACAAACCATTTTTTCATTTGAGAAAAAAAATAGATGTGAAATATCCCAAAATTAGGGTAAGACACGCTTATCACATAATGGAGTAACGATGTGGGGTAGTAATTAATTAGTATTTTCAAAATTTATTTCAGTAAACAAAAGGGACATTGTTTAAAGTCAATTTAGAATTGTTTTATTTATTTCACTCTTTTAAAGATGTTTAAAGATGTTTCGTTTATTTCACAAGAAGGAGATTCGGGGGGGGGGGGGGGGGGGGGGG